TCAAGATTTTTCGCTCCCAGCAGGGGAGGCAGACAGAGGGAGGATGAAAATGATGTAGTAACTCTGAGGAACTCCATTTTTTTGTGTGACAAAGCATGCGACATTGTCACTGACTCTGTAACCATAAAAATGCAAAATGGTGCCAGGTTGAACCTTGCAGCCGGAGTCAAAATCTGTAGCCCCCACCCTCTGAACTGTTGCACATAGCAAAAAAAGTTGTAACCAGAGATTTAATCTTGTAATCACAGTTTATTGTTTTTTCCTCCCCCCACAGGGCGAAAAAAAATCAGTTTGCTTAGTTACTGTTTTCAAAACAAGTGAATTTACCTATGCCTTTCGCTAATCTTCAAATGAGTCAAACAAACTCATCTCCGTGGCAAGACTTTTGCCTTATTCAGCAAAAAAAAACAGTCTTGAAATAGACGAATATAACTAAGTATGTCAAGCGCTTGTCGAGATTTTCAGTTGAGATGACCTCTATTTTTTTTTTGGCTTTTGCAGTTCATCCGTCTCCACTCTGTCCTTCACAAAGACTCCGTCAAGCTACTTCTAGCGAAGCTTTAGCTAAGGTGTGGAAAACAGAGGTTCCACTGCTACCCTTCAGTCCCTCGAAGGGCTCAAGATCTGTAAGTCAACATAGAGGATAAATATCGAGAGACTCCTTCAGCTGTCATGGCTCATGTCCCGCATTGTCTCTGTGCCAGTAAAAATAATCTCTCGATTGCTCAATAGTGCCTGCTAGTCACCACTCGCACCGGCCCCTCAACACCCACCACTCACAGTGCTCACCCCTCAGCGACCGTAGCTGTATGTGCTATGTCTTATACAGTACATAAACACAACTGAGGAGGCTGATTTTACAGGAGCGCTACTAGTGCGGCGTATTTTCTTTCTGTTCTTCCTGATGTGTTCTTGTGAAACCTCTCCGCTTGGCGTATGTCCTGTGTCTCGTAGATAAAGATTGTGGAAAGGGCTGATTTTACGGGAACACATTAGGAAGATCAGTAGCATAATGATCACAGTTGTTGCGGCCCCGCACCCGCGCCTCAGGGGACGATGACAAGTCTCCAGGATTGCAAAATGCGAAGAGAGGCCCAAGAGAAACAGTTGCAATCCCAGTTTTCACGGTCAACAACAATTTCAGAGAACACGGAAGAATAATGCGTCTTTCACCTGAACTGACAAATACTGCGAACAAAAAAAAATAGCACGTTCAAGTTTGCTTGACGCTTTTTATTTAAATTTTTTAAACTTTTATTACCGTAATGGCAAACTTCAAAAGGTGTCAAATCTTCTCACCTTATTGGCTATATTCATACATTGACAAATTCTGATTTTAAGGGTAAAATGCTCGTTGGGATTGACTCATTTCTTTTGTGCATGAAATCTTGCTGCATATTTTTAAAACCGTGGGCCTCTTTTCCTCATTATCCCTGGTAAGGCTCAGTATAGCAGACAGATATAGGCCAAAGCATTCAAAGAGCAATCCTCCCCCAAAAACAAAAACAAGATAATGCTTCGTCTTTAAGAAGGCTTTAGAAAACCTGCTCGACTTGTTGCAGCGACTGTTTAATTGTTGCCGCGCACTTGCTGTAACTGCTAAGGGCCGCTATGCAGAAAAACAGGTAAAACAAATGGAAACGATTCATCTGAAAAACTAGTCGTGCTAAGTTGGCTATACTTCCATCAAGTTTCCACTGCACAACTGTATAGTTCTGATGATAAATTTATGGTTCATCAGCTCTAAAAGAATAAATATATGATCATGAAAAACTAACGAGTAATCTCAACTTAAGGGTGCATTTCAGTGCATATGTTGTGTTATCAGAGCGCAATCGCTAAGGGAATGAAAGCGCACATAAAAAGGAGCAATCAAGGTTACTGCCATTTGAGGGAAAAATTATTTCGGCACATAAACAGACTTTAATGCTCTTCAGGCCGACTGCAAGGCTTTGATGTGTGGTAAAGTATGGAGGAGGAGGCTGGAGCGCCTAGGATTTCGCCTGCGGCCGTAAAACCGCAGCACCGTCCCGCGCGGAAAAACAGGTGTGTTCACTGAATCACAGACAGACATCACTCCCTCCAAACCCTCCTGAGCTCCAGCTCACACACACACACCTTTCAAAAGGGCTTCAACGCTTCAGAACTCCACTGCAAAACAACTCCAGCCAGAAATGGATTGCAATATTCATCCCTACAGACGTGGGGCCAGCGTTTCTGTACTATACATTGTTTTGTATCTTGGATGCACTTCGACTGTACGCCAATTAGCTGTGGGACTGTATATACGGAGTATAATGCAGTGCAGCACACTGGGTTCATTCCAAGTGCCTATTTTACACATCATCCCATGTCTTCTCTCTACATTTTATTGCACTCAGCCTTGCCCATCGATGGCCAAGAAAGCAGAGGCAGATCATTAAGAAAAAGGGTTGAAAAGACGTGAATTTCCAATGTAGAATGTCCCAGCTCCATAAAATGCGATTTTGAGGTGATGCGAGTTATATACAGGTGTGGTGGATGTGTGGAAGCTGGGGGAAGTTAGATTCACTGGTCAATCATTCAAGCGCCACTCATTCAGGGAAACAATTCCGTTTTCGCAACTGATTAAATGGATTTGAACCTCTGCAATGATGAGGTACCTCAATTAATATCCAAGTCAGGAACCAGGAAGGAGTGAGAGGTGCGAAAAATAATCAATTGGAATGAGCCCTCAATGTCGCAAAGAGCAGACAGTACGAGGTCTATAAATGGGAAACAGCACCCTCTGCTGTTAGAAATATGGCAATATTTTCCTCAAAGGCAAAACAACGAAGCGCAACTGACAGTTCTCATTTTACAATTCAGGTCGCAACATTATGCTCACAAAAATTAAAGACAGGCTGCACCTAAGCGGGCACATTTTGACCCAAAAGTGAAAGTCAACAAGTTATCATAGTTGCAGTGATTCGTTTTAAGTCTTATAAATGTCCCAGAGCATTAATGGCAGCTGGTTCAAACGCACCAATTTGGTGAAGAGTGCTGTGATCTATACTCAAACTAGAATGGCAGTAACTAGTTTTTATCCATAATGAATAAATTAATGAATTATGAAAAATATTACAATTAGTGGAATGATGAAAATGGTGACATTGCAGGCTCTTGCTGAAGTAAACACGTTAGACCACCCTCGGGAATGGAAATAAATATTAAACCACAGAATGAGCAATGAGCAAAGCCAAATCAAGCTCTCTGTCATTGAACTCATAGATTGAATATATGAAGTTATTCCTGGTAGTGACTGCTGAATGGCCCAGACAATTTACAGAGCACTTTGCCAGCCTTATATTTGAGACACTTGAGAGTTTTGATTCTCTCACGACTTAGTGAAAATCTATTCACATCTCACTCACTGGAGATGTCTGAGTGGTTTCCTCAAATATCGGCAATAAGCAGTTTTGCCTGAAAAAAGACATTTCAATAATATGCAGGGTAGTTCAGTAATTGCCATGTCTAGACAGTATGCAGAAAAAAAAATGTTTTCAGAAAACCTGCCACTTTCCCCAGCCAGATTATCACCTATTATACCACAATGATAGATGTAAACCTTGAGACACATAACAGCGGAATCAGAGCAGTCATGAAACATTGCCCAAGCATTTTTAGAATGTTATGAGTCTGTACTGGAATCCTTCTTTGGCAATTCAAACTGGGCAATGTCATTCTGTGTCGTGTCGTTCTGAATGGAAAAGCGCTGTTTTTAATGAATGATGGGTCTACTTTCTTTATAATTATATTAAACCAGAATATAGTTCCCCTGGTGTCGCTGAGGCTTTATGGGAATCGAAAAAAAGATGCATCCATATATGAAAAAAAATCAAACTATCTTTCAATTAAGCGAGAAGCACAGCCCGACTGCGTGGGCTTGTTTCCTGTCGATGTGCTCTCACCTGGAACACGATTTGAGACATTCCAGGGTATACAGTACACTGGCACACATGCGTTTCCTGTGTAAACTCCTCATCTCTCAACAGAAACAGACCCTGACTCACTGCAGTAGGCGATACAGAAATGACTCATCCACATGCATGTACAGAAAGTCAGTTGGGCAGACAAGACATTTGGCATCCTGGTATTGTGAAAGGCCACAGGCACTCTCTGTGACTCGAGCATATCATGACACCACTTCATATTACCTAAAAGCCTTTAAGGTTCAGCCTTTTGTTTCTTTCAGCCAGAATAACCCACATATTAGTTTAGTATTTTCCTGACCATGCAAGTATTTACAATTTTTTCACTTAGGTGCTGAGTGGATCTGATTTATGTAGTACAGCGCATTCACCGCTGTGCACCACCCAATTTAACAGGGAGTTACACCTCTCCAAATACACGGTACAGCGAATGAACCTCGCCTAATCCCTAGCATATCCAAACAGGTGCTAGCTTGGGTGGTGGAGGGTGGGCAAAATTCATGTGGGTGCAGTAGTGCTCAGATAAATTGGCACTGCATGCAAAAGATATGAGACCAAATGTTTAGAGGATTACTTTACTCTATTATGTTATACTGTCCCATATAAGTGCCTGAAAATCGGGGGGGGGGGGGGGTGGGGGTGACCATAAACATAAGCAGTCATCGTGTCCTTTTATTTCTTCGCAGTTCACTCAATATGGATGGAAACACCCTCAATTTAAAGCCTACACAGTCTACACTTCAATTTCACTGCATGCTTTCAAACTCAGAGGGCTACAGTACAGAACCCAAATTAAAGAAGGCGAACTCAGATTTACATGATAAGATAAGATACACTTTATTTAATCCCATGGGTTAATTTGTCCTCTGTATTTAACCCCTCCTATAGTTGTGAGCAGCCCAGGGACCAACTCCAGCTCGAAAGCCAGTTCCTTAGTCAGGGGCACCAGTAGGAGTGTATATAATGCATGTTTTTGTGGGTGGGGGAAACCGGAGCACCCGGTGGAAACCCACATGAACACGGGGGGAACATGCAAATTCCACACAGAAAGGCCCCAGGCCGGATTCGAACCCACGAGCTTCTTGCTGTGAGGCGACAGTACTAACCACTGCACCACTGTGCCACCCTCAATGCAATTCGTAAAATATGTCCCCACCAAACCCCTAGATGGCCTTTGACCCCCCACCTGTAGGAAGCACACGTGCGACTTGACCCAAGGGTCATTTCAACCACGTTTCATGAAAATCCGCTGAAGTATGTGGATACAGTGACCAATGATATAGATTTGGATCAATGAATCCAAATGACCCCTACATGACCTTTGACCCCACAACTGTTGGGGTCACATGTGATTTGGCTCAACAATCATTGTGTCCAAGTACCACAAAAATCCACTGAAGCATTTGGATACAGTGAACTTCAGACCATTTTGGACCAATGACCCCAAATGACCCCTAGATGACCTTTGACCCCCCACCTGTAGGCTGAACATGTGTCGCTTATCCCAAGGATCATTGCACCCTAGTTTCATGAAAATGCACTGAAGTATGTGGATAGAGTGATCCATTATGTACAAGGTTAACATTTTGGTGGAAGGACGGATGGACGGACAGATGGACGGATACACACGCTGCTCATTTCATAGTCCCCCTCCGCAATTCTTTTGGCGGGGACAAAAATGGGCCACTGTCAAATGAATTATGGTATTTACTGTATGCAAGAGCTGTAGCTAATGGAAAATGAATACTTTCAGAATTAAAGTGGCTTTTGTCAAAGTATATATATATATATATATATATATATATATATATATATATATAAAGCTTATTGGCATGTTTATAACACTGGACATTTATGCTTTTAAATAAATAGCCAAAATATACTGGACAAAGAAAGTTAGGGATCACCCAACTTTTCAATATTAAAATATGATATGGAAAAAAATATCACATCAACTATCACATATTTCAAATTCAAAATTTGGGGTGATCCCTAACTTTATTTGTCCAGTATATTTTTACAGCTCCTTTCAATTATAAAAGAGCACCAAAGGACCAATACAGAGCAAATGCTAAGTAGAAATCTCTACCCAAGTTGTTGTCACAAGTATTGCTCACCATCCCTTCAAGCAAAATACAAGGTAAAAGAGAAACATTTTGAAGAGAAAGTATATGGATATGGATACAGTGTCCATTTCTGCGTTTATATTCTCAGTCAGTCGCATACAAGCTGCTCTTAACTGCCAAGTCAGAAAGAGGGGAAAGACTTAATTCCAGCGTGAAGCAAAAACCATGACCAAAATCACAGATTGCAGTAATTTTAAACATTTGCTTCGCTGAAATCATAACCATTCTAAATTACAGGTGCAGAAACTGAGGCAACTGTGCACTGAAGACAGATGCTTGTAAACAGAACACTTAAAATGGGGATCACCACCTCACCCAGCTCACTGCTACTCACTGACTTCAGCAAACATACAGAAGAGTATATGACCCCAACTCCGAAAAAGTCAGTACATCAAAGAAAAAAATGCAAATAAAATTAAAAAACGAGTGATAAGAAAAGTCCATTCACCCTCTGGAGTACTGAAAACACTATAAAATGTTATTTTATGCTTTAACTTGCGAATTCAATTGTTTATTGAACATATACACTCATTTAAAATCTTGTGACTGCTACTGAATTCAAAAAAGTTAGCAAAAGGGTAATTTAGCGCTGATAATAATGTGACAAGTTGCAAGAAAGTGATGAGAAACTGCTGATGTAAAACAGGTGAGCTAATTGTGTGATCGTATGAAAGGCCTCCAAAAAAGGCCTAGCACCTCAAGAGCAAAGATGGGTTGAAGCTCACCAATTTGCCAACAGGTATGTAAGCTTTTAAACCATAACTTAAAGAACACCATTCCTCACAGACAAATCGGTCAGATTTTGGGTATTTCCCTTTATATTGCATATTAACATTAAAAGTTGGAAGGAATCCAGTTGAATCTTGATGTGTTAATGGCAAGGCCGAAAACCACTTCTAAATGCATGTGATATCCGACCCCTCAGTTCTCTCATCACTGCCTTAAGAAATGCCATGCGACTGAAAGGGATGTCACTACACAGGCTCAGAAATGTTTTGGTTAACCTTTGTCAGTCAACACCATTCGCAGTTTCATCCACAGATGCAAGTTAAAGCTTTACAATGCAAAGCCAAAGCCATCCATCAACACTGTCCAAAACGGCCGCCGACTTCTCTGGGCTCCGTATGACCCGAGATGGACAGTAGCCCAGTGGTATCATATTTTGTGGTCCAACTAGTCGAGATTTCAAGTTGTTTTTGGAAAAAAAAAAGCAGCTGCCGTGTTCCCTGGACCAAAGATGACAAGGGCAACCCATGATTTTATCAGTGTCAGGTCAGATGTGTCAGTTCAAGTGACATGCGTGACTAGCACATTTACGCAGGCAAGTTATCGCATTGTATATTATCAGTATATGCAATTAAATTCATGTTAGAACATCAAATAACGTTGTTGTACTCAATATAGTAAAGTGTGAATGGACCTTTCAAGGCAGTCAATTTTGATTTTATTTTATTAATGTATATTAACATATTAATGAAAACAATTGCCTCGCCAAAAACAAACGGGAAGAGGCACTTTTACGTTTTTGCTGTTTATTTTGCTCGTAGTGCACTCAAAGATTTTGAAAACATTACGCATTGTTGTGTCTTCTGCTGTTCAATCCATCCATCTATTATCTAACCTGCACTTCTCCGAGGTCACACAGGGTCTGGAGCCTATCCCAGCATGCAATGGGCAAGAAGCAGGTACAAACCCTGAATCACACTCCAGGCAGGAATACCATGGTTACCTTCACAGGGATTACACACACCATTCAGTAGCACCTATGGGCAGTTTGGCATCTGCATTAAACCTGTTATTCATGTCTTTGGACTGTGGGAGGCAACTGTACCTGGAGGAAAACCATGTGAACGCACAGAAAGGTCCGGATAAGATCCAAATGTACTAATTCCTTGACCTGAGGTGACAGTGCTACCAACTGTATCACCATGCTGCTGGGATTTTGACATTAAGTCACCATAAAGGAGTTACTCTCACCTTCTTAGGTCCTGTTGAATAGGTGCAGACATGTTTTACAGTAATAAGCTGGGTCAAATCATTTAGGTATGCCAACGACCTCCATCTTAAGCTGAAGGACTACTTCAGAAATCACAAGGACAATGTACACCACGTGGCAACGAAGCGACTATAATTCCTAATTTTTAATTTTCTCATATATTGCCTGGTTGCACAGCTGAATAACAACCAAACAAGACTACAGGGACCAAATATTTGTAAACTGCTTTGCCCTTGGTCCTGAAGATTTATTTTTAATTGGATTTTTTTTTTTTTTTTAACAAAAATCCAAAGAATTCAGTCACACGAAGTACAACCGAGAGGTCATAAAACTCATCAGGATATAATCTTGGGAGGAACGCTGACGTAGAACTTGCTTGGCTCATGCGTGTAAACACTAGTTCATTTTAAATAATGCATTTGCCCTTGCAAGAAATCATTGACTTAAAAATGCCAATCTCCAGATAGACAAATGAACTAAGAAACGATAACCTAACCAAGACAAGCTGAAAGCTTCTCTTTTTTCTAAAACTGCTCTGCGCTCTGTTGCAGTGGGATAAATTAAACTTGTGAAACGAAAATAAGTCATAAAGTAAGATGAAGAGAAAGTGGAAACTGAGCAATGATAGCTTGGGAGCTGGCCTAGAAGCCTCGCCTTCAGACAAACTTCTTTTAAGCGTGATGAATGAGTATGTATTACTCTAGGGTAAATTTCACAGGCTTTTTTATTCATAATTGAATGTAATACTGGGAGATAAGCCCTCAGTCGGAGAAGGCTTTTTTTCCACTCTCTCGAAACGCTTCATGGTGCAGTACATTTTATTCATCAAATTCGTTTCACTCGGTTTCGGGGTCCCTTGTGCCATCTTTAAAGGTTTGGATAAAAGGACGACATCAATTTCTGCTACTAATCAGTCTTACCAGAGCACAAGCTTCACCGCAATAAAAGCGACAGCCCCTCAGTAAAAGCTTTCTGTTGTCTCCTGATGTAATCCTCAGTATATATTCCTCTGCTGCCAACCACTGTAAATCTGTGGGCAGCATAAACTGAAATTTCCAAATATGCAGATCTTTTTCCACTGCAATATTCATTCACTGGTCCCAGGTAGGTGTAGGTCATAGTGCACTCCAAAAAACAGGCGTGCCAAAAATCTTAAGGAAAGAAAATGCAGTGCCATGCCGTTTTTAAAAAACCAACAAAAACAAAAATAGTACCTTGAGAAGTGTGTTTCGTGGTAACACGGCTAATATGACAGCATCACCTGTGCTAAAAAGTTTCCCTTATACAAAATAAAAGCAGTAACTTCGAAAGTTTGTGAGGAAAGTAAAACTAAGGTAGTACAACAAGTAGCGTTTGATCGTAACAAAACTTTTTGAGAGGATAAAAGTGTGAAAAAGAGAAATAGACTCATTAATGAATTCACAACTAATCAAGGTGTTCCACACACCTTGTTGTCTGTCTGCCTAAAATACGAACAAGAAATGAAATCATTTTCTGATGGAAATCCTCCATCTAGTTGCCTTTTATTTGTAGCCATCAATTTCTTGATGCCGAGAGCTAACTTCAGCATTTAACAGCATCACTGCAGGGCTTCCATTTTTTTCTTACTTGACTTCAAATGATATTTTATTTACATGAGTTTATAAAAAGTAAATACCGCAAAAGGTGCCTTATATCCGCAGTAAAAGATCTTAACACACTGGCTGACCAGTTCATTTCTTCACAAGCGACACATGACAAAGGGTGTCACCTGATTTAAAAAGGTGGATTATTGCACTAAAGTAAATATGCACCAGACAGTTCACTTACTCACTGACCTCAGAGTGAATAAGTGCAGCATGTTATAGTTTTCATGGCAACAAACACAATGACTTATTACATACAGTATTTACCAGCGGCTCTTCACCCTGCTCTTACAAAATCACTGAGAGCAGGTGTGGGTCAGGCGAGAATGTGAACGAAAAAGTCATCACTGCATGTGATTTAGCTGGTCCAGAAGAG